AAAACTGCAGTGCAGAAGTTACACTTGGGCCAACGAGGGTGCTTGGTCTGGAGGGGAGCTGATCAAGCAAGGAAGTTGGTAACTGCTGAGACTCTGCCGAGGGTTACAGAGCTGCTGTGTGTCATCTGGTCATGTTACTGGAAAGCATGGGATACTGAAAAGGGCCAGGGCATTTGGGGCAGGTTGGTTGTAGTTTGGTCTTGTTTGTTGTACTTTCTCAAATGGGAAGTGGGTCAGGATTGGGCTGGATCATCTTTGTAGTATCTCTCACCGCTCACATTTTATGGTTCTGCTCTCCAAACTATAGAATCTAGAGCAGATTCATTTATACAGAAAGTTGGGAGTAAAGGATGGTTTTGGTGAACAGCTGCTACAGCAAAAGTGCTAGGACTTGGGGACTAGGGATGTAGCTTAGTGGCAGAGTACTTGCCAGACATGCATAAGGTCCTGTGTTCAGTCCCCAGTACCACCAAATAGAGAGAGGAGGGAGAGCCAAATATTACTCAAACCACTTCTACTGGCCATGAACCCTCCTGTTTCCTCATCTGTTAAACTGAAATGACAACCCAACTAACTGTGGGAGACATTGGTGAGAATTTCATAAGGTGATGTGTGGGGAAGCAACAGAACAACTCCAAAGATGCAGACTGCCATTGCTGGCTGACAGTTTTCCAAAGAATTAGAATATAATAAAATAGTCTTAAGCACTAATCTGTCTTCCATGACTCAGAAGATCCTTCAGGAAGTTACAAAACCTCAAGGTCTTGGGGTCGTGATCATCATGTCATTTTGTAAGAAAAAAAAAAAAGCTCCTAGCTGTGTGTATTCTTGGCTCATAAGATCCAAATTAAATAGGAGCATATTGGCTGTATTAAGTCCAAAGGGAATAGCGATTGCAGGCGCTCAGCCCCTCGTTTTACAGATGAAGCTACTGAGCCTGCCCAGAATCTCATGTCAATTAGTGGCTGATCTGGGAATAAAATCCAGGCTCTGACGCCCAGCACACTTTTCATCATGAGTTTAAGCATAGCTGAGAGAATTTGCAGTAAGAGTAAGAATGTCCTGGTGTATGTGGCTGCCCCTCTGAACATAGAATTGGGAAAAATCAGGAAAGTTTTAAAGATCCTGGGAAAATGTATTATGGAAGAGTACAATACCAGAACTTGATTTAACTCCTCTTGGAAGAAAAACTGCAGTGGAATTCTTAGTAATTTTCTGAATCATAGCACTTCACTTCCTTCATACAAAATTCTTCCCATATAGCCTCACATTAATTGACATTAAAATATCTGACGTTTAGTAAACGTTTCACAGGTTTGTTATATGCGTAAGTAGTGATAGAAGAATGCGTGCTGTCTCTTTTTTTTTCTTAATGATCGCTAACTAACTTTATATCCTTTAACTCTGTTCAGTTAAAATTGCAAGGGACAACTGTAAAACAAGCTGTGAGTGCCCCTCCCTCACCCTGCCTGCCTGCGCAACCTCCGTCCCATGAGTGGTTGTAAATCGCGTGACCATCAAACCCGAGCTTGATGCAGCAGCCGTGAAAGTGGTGCTTTATTCCTGGGTGCAGTAAAAGCAGATTCCTACCTACACCTCCCTCCTTTCCTTGCGTATAAATCTGTTTCTCCCAGGATCTGCAAATCCCCTTTTTTTCTCTCTTTTTGCTGTGCTCTTAGTTTGTTGGTAACTCGAGAAAGCCTCTGAGGCTCTCGGGCTTGGATGGGTGGGAATCAGTTCACTCAGTGTTTTCTGAATCCCTAATAGATGTTAAAACCAGTCTCAATGCTGAGTCTGGTTGGGAAATATTGGGTAAGCAGAGGGATGGGTAAGGCAAAGACTGTACAAGTTCTAATCACAGTGCATCTTGTTCTAGGGCCTTACAGCCTTGGTCAAATCCCTGAAATGTACTGAGCCTCCGTTTCCTAATCTGAAACCACCCCCCACCATGCGTGAGCATGCAGTGAAATGAACTAATATTTATAAAGTACTTCGAACCGTGCTAGGTGCATAGAATTGCTTCATAAGTGACTGTTTCAGCAAATTCAATGGTCCTGATTAGACAGCATCCCCTCTGGGTCCTAGGATCTGTTCTTCTCTGTTAGCTGCTTTTAACACACAGGCCTTAGAGGGCCCACAGTTTTGGGTTCAGAAAGGGCTTCTTTTTCCAGAATTAGAATTGCAAAGCACCTTCTCTACCACAACCTCTTTGTTCAATTGATTTAGAAAGGAAATAGCAGTGGGACCAACCTTCAGCCCAGAAGTGTGTCTGACCACTTTCCAGTTGGGTGAGCTGTCCACATCTCTTTATGCTAATGCAAGAGCAGTGACTGATCGATTTATTGAACGGCCTTGAGCAGGTAGCTTGTTCCATCTTGATGGCTTCTGTAAAACTGCTAGGATTGCCCCGTTTTCCTGGAATGGGTGGATCCCTATCATACACAAGCCTGGAGCTTCAAGCATCTATTCCTGGGGAGGGAGTTTCCACGTCAATGTGGCCCTGGTTGCTTCTAGGGCTGAGCTGTGGGAGAAGTTAATGGGAAGTGAGAAGAGAAACTTGCTGTTAACCAGCAGTGCTGTTTGGAGTGTATAACGCTTCTTGTATTTAGGGAAAAGATTACTCAGGAGTATTTTCTTCTGTAGAATGTAAAGAACCTCAAATTACTACTTGGGTCCCCTACCCACTTCTCACCGCCTCTCCCTTTTCACTGAGTCCCCTGCAGAAACTTCAGCATTTTACTTTCATTTCCCCTTCTAGGCAGGAGTCAGTTCTGTATTTGCTTTGGAGCCTGCACTTCCATGAACTGCCCCAGGCTTTTCCCTGTTTCTGCCTGAGCACCCTCTGCCCTCTGGCCCTGCCACCACCAGGTACTTTCCTGGACCAAACTTGCCTGGAACCTCCCGTTTGTCCCCTAAGGGCCACTGTACCTCTGCTCCTCTTATGAGGGAGAAGAGAATAGGCCTCTGCAGTAACAAGTCACTCTGCTCTTCTCAAACTGACACCACTGACTGGAGGAAGTAAGGTTTAAGATTTTAGCTGGCTCAAAAATTGGCCGCCACTCCCATCTCACTGTGATTCCCCATACGCCTGTTCAAGGTCATTGGGAAGAGGTGGACCCCGCCAGTATCAGGGGCCGTTCTTCATAGGCATTGCTTTCTGGCCCAATCAAAAGTCAGAAACAGAACCTTGGATCCTTTAATGCCCGTGTTTTATTCTAAAGATCATAAGCAGGCAGGTAATACAAATCAGTATCCCGTAGTGCTGTTTATTTTTTTTTAATTATTATTATTTAGAAAAAATTATTATGAAACTTTAAGAATTCTTAAAGACTATCTCTAATTATCCCAGTGGCCAATAGTTCTTTATCGGTCCCTTACAAGATGGACTGGTTTGGAGGGGACTTCCAGAGTTGGAAGAAGCCAGCTACCCATCTTCAGAACTATGGTCTGCAGAAGCTGCACTAGGAAGTTGGCCACCAGTCATGCCCAGAGCCTGGCCATTCTCCAGGGCACCAGAGCCATGTGACCTCTCAGCCACCCACCCAGCACTTGGATGCTTTGTCCTGCCTGGTGTCAGGTGAAAGGCGATTCCTTCCGAGAGTGAACACTTTTATAACATTCCGGGGTCCTTCCAAGTTTCAGTGACTTACATGAGAGACTAAAGCTCTTCTTAGCACGCACTGATTCTCCTGGGCTGGGTGTGAACGCTTGATTCTTAGCCCTTGATTTTCGAGAATGGAACTCTGTTGAGCACCTACCTTCTTTTGACCTAGGGTTTTTAAAATTTTGCTGTCAGGACTCTTCACTTCTTGAAAATTACTGAAAACTCCAAAGAGCTTTTGCTTGTGTGAGTTATATCTTATCTGAATTTACTATATTATAAATGAAAACTGAGAATTTAAAAATATTCATTAACTTAATGAAAAATAATAAGCCATTTGTGTGTGTTATTGGGAATTAAACCATTAAAGCCCAATGAGCTATAATGGAAAATACATTCCATACCCAGCCTTTTCTTTTTTTTGAGACAGGATCAAATATGTGTGCCCCCCCAAAAAAAAATTGTGCAAAGAATACAAGTTATACACATTTGCAAGTCTCTTTAACACCTAGCTTAGATTATCTTAGAGCTTGCTGCAATATCACACGTCACATAGGTATGCCCATGAAAATACAGGAGCAACAAAGGCAAATATTCTCAATATTGTTATGAAGGGGATTGAGCTACATAGATACCCAACGGAGATCTTGGGAACCCTCAGGGCTCCCAGGATCATATTCTGAGAACTACTTTTCTAATTCCTTGAATGACATAGCAGAGCTTTTCCACAATAGCAAAGTAAACTAAAAATGTAGAGTCCTAGTTGTGGTGCCAAGAGACCCTAACCTGACCACCCTATCGGCCTTGACTCTAGGCCTCTCCCAGCCCACACTGGTCCTGGTCAATCCAAGTACCGCCCTCGCTGAGAACTTCTGACATCAGCAGGTCCATAAGAGGCACAAGACCTTTCCTCCTTATCTTGCCCTCTTATTCCCAGAGGCCGGCTGATGGTTTCCCAGAGGCTGAGTGAATCGCTCTTCCTGGAAGAAGGTTCGGGGAATACTTCATTATCTGGCACCACTGGAACATTCTCCCTTCAGAAAGACTCGGGGCGATGGGCTCTGACTCTGAGGCCCCATCCAAAGCACTCAGATTTGTCAGGGTTCTGGGCCCCTTGTATGCCTCAGGCCACTCCTAAGGCAGGGCTCTAAAACCTATCATCCTTTACATATTTTTTAAATGTGTTTTTTCCCCTTATTTTGCCGCCAAATAAAGTTACTCTGATAGCACACTCAAGCCATTATGAAGCTAGAATTTTAACCTGGGACTTAGAATTGAATAGAAGGGCCTGAAATGTGTCTGAGATGTAGAGTCCATTCTGTTAACCATTTAGAGATCTTTTCTCTTGTTTCAACTGACTAACTGACCTTCTTCCTTTCTCCCTTGCTCTCTCCAACAGGCTTGCAGCCAGTTTACTGGAGCAGGGATGACGTAGCCCAGTGGCTCAAGTGGGCTGAAAATGAGTTTTCTTTAAGGCCAATTGACAGCAACACATTTGAAATGAACGGCAAAGCGCTCCTGCTGCTGACCAAAGAGGACTTTCGCTACCGATCTCCTCATTCAGGTGAGCACCTGCCCTCTGGCCCAAGGCAGGTTCAGCCTCTCGGTGGTTGGTCTTTGACACCACTCATCCTGCACCAGGAATCTGCATGGCCGATAGTCACAGGCACAGGGACAGACAGTGACAGTTTAGCAGGAGGTGGATCCCATTGATGTAAGCCAGTCTGGGGCGGGGTGGGAGGAGGCTTCCAGATTTGGGTGGGGTGTGATAGGAGAGGTTGCCCACTTAATACCTACTAAGCCTGGAACTCGAGTGACATCGTACTGCCTCCAAAGAAAGGAGACACCATTCCTGCCCTTTCATCAACTTGAGAGTGAGTGTAGGTCAGGATCTGATCGATTAAAAACCAACTATGCCTGGGAGCCGTGAGGCACACCTGTATCCCAGCTCTCAGGACACTGAGACAGGAAGACTGCCGTGAGTTCCAAGCCAGCCTGGGCTACATAGTGAGTTCAAGGCCAGCCTGAGCTATGTAGCAAGATTCTGCTTTAAAAAATAAATAAATAAAATAACAGATGAGAGGGCAAGGACATGGGCAGTACTGATTGCTGAATAAAGAATGTAGAAAGAACATAGAAACAAGGAGCCTGGGGAGCAGAGGGATCCTAGTAGCCAAAGTGAGTTTAGAAATACTGTAAACTCGGACCAGGGATTTAGCTCACTGGTTCTACCACCTGCCTCACAAGCACAAGGACCTGAGTTCGATCCCTGGTACAAAACCAAACAAAAAAAGAAATGCTATAAAGTCAAAGAGCTTCCAGTGATTTCCTTAGAAAATACTGACTTCTTTGAAGTCATGTCTATTGTAGCTTTAGAAATCCTGAAAAATAAAAATAGAAGGTTTCCTCAGGCCCATCTAACTTAAGATTTGTCAAAATGTGGGCTCCCAAGACCCCACTGGAAGATTCGGGCCAGCAACAAGCACTTGTACCTGCTGCAGAGGGTATTCCTGACGCAGGTAAGCCTCCAAAACTGCTTCTGTTACACGTCTCTCTGCCTGATGGTCGCCACGAAGGCAGGGTCTGGTAACTACATGTCAAGGGGGAGCTTTAGTCTCTAGTTTGTGCCTCTTGAAGGGTTGGTTGCCAGAGCACCCCAGGGCCCTCATCCTACTGAGTGTTGTCGTGGAGCCCACTTCAATGTGACTGACCTGGCAGGGTCCTTTTTCTCCTGGGCCAAGGCCAGACACCCTGCTTAAGACTCTGGCATCGTCCCTAAGTGCTCGTAACCCATTGACCCCAGGAGGGCCACCACAGTGAATAAACTAACCCACATGAGGGAACTACCCCATTCCAGGGGTGAGATGAACCTGTAGAGCAGTAGCTCCCTGCTCTCTTCAGCTGCATGAAGAAATGCCAATGGGGACGTTTCCCCAAAAGTATAGATGTTCCTTAGACTTGAAAGTTTATAGCTCTCAAAACAGATGATTTTTAAGTTTTTATCAGAGACACAAGCATACCAGAAACATTTTGTCTCAATCTCAGAATTAAAAAAACTGTAAACAACTATATGAGTAAATGAAACTATCCTAAGTAGTTCCTTTGAATTGATTGCAAAATACTTCCCTTTTCTTTTCTAATGGAAACTAAGCAGTGTTTTATTCAAAGGCAGTGTTACATGTCTAGAGGCAAAAACCCCTAACTCTTTTGGGTTTCAGTTGTGTAAAGCAAACAAAGGAAAACCCAGTGATATGTTTTGACTTGATCTGACTTAGACCTGGGGCCAGCTTTCCTGCCCAGTCTGTCAATTTCCCTGCATTGTCTCTCAGGTGTTCTGCTTCCTTGCTGGTGGACTTTGCTCCCCAGTGACCTCTCAGTTTTCCAGACATAACTAGATTCTCTCTGCTCTGAGAAAGGTGAAGCCAGCCGCTTTCTCAGCCCTCGTCTGGGGTGGGCCATGTGGAACATGGTCCTACTCCCAGGAAGTTACTGTCCAGTTGGAGAAGCAGGACTGCATGGACCCTGAAGTCCAGATAGAGCTGGAGAAGGGAGAGCCAGGATAGTAAAGGTCCTGTAAGAAGAGGAATGGAGTTGGTCTGGAACATGAAGGGTGGACCAAAGTGAGTCACGGAGGGTAATTGGAACAGCCTGGTATTCTTGAGCAACGACGGAAAAGTCCATCTGATGTGTGGAAGAGGAGGGAGTCAGGAGGGCTGGTTCAGGCCACAGCGCTAGTTGACGTGTGAGGTGCTGCAGACCACCATAATGGGGGGGCAGTAGAGATCCATTCCGGGAGTATTCACTGGGCAACTGAGGCAGGGGCACAGCAGTCTGGGGTATGTAGGTGGGCGAGGCCCTCTGTAGCTGGATGACCAGGTGAAGCTCGACAGTGTGGTAATGGAGATGGGGCCCAGCGTGGGGCCTGGGGAGAAGGTGTAGGCTGGTTTGTGGAAGAGGAGCTCAGAGACAAGGCCGAGTCCCCTGTGAAGCACTGTCCACTGTCACTCCTGGCCCCTCCCTTCCCTTTTCCAATTCCCTCCAGCATGCACGCACGATTACACGCGATCCTATTCTATGCCGTCTTCCTCCCCTAGAGTAGACGGTTCGGGGCAGGCAGGGACTGTATCCTGTCAGCCTGCCCTGCCTCCTGTCCCTGACACAGGATTTGACAGCCAGCTGGCACTCTACGTATTTGTCAGATTGTCCAGAAGGCCATGGACAGAGCTTCAAGGTGATACCTGCCAGTCCTGGCTGCGGAAAAACGCATGGGGAGTACAGAGGATGTTGTATCAGGGTCTGGAGGACAGAACCAAGGAGTCAGAGGGGCCTGCCACCCTGTGTCGTGGCCGCCCAGCACGAGGTGAGGTATGATATTGCCCCTGGTGCTCTCCTTAGGGAGGAACAAGGTAGAAACTTTGCAAAATCTTTTTCTTTCTCAGCTGGAATATTTGCCACTGTTTCCTCTGATGGGGCCTTTCTGCTTCAGCAGTTTTGTGTAGTACAGGTCTTGAGTCTGATACAAATCACATCCCTTCCTTGGATTTTATTTTCTTACCCACAAAACGGGATATCTGCCTGGTGGATGGTGAGTTCCCTTCAGCTCTTCATGGTTTGGCCCATGAAGCATTCTTAACCTTCCGGTAAACAGTACAACCGCGCACCCAGCAGACCATGAATAAATGCTGTCTCCTCCAGCCCAGTCATTTTGTACAACCTAGCCCAGCCCCCATGCCCACCTGGGATCTTGCCTTGCCGCCTAAGGAGTATCAGGAGTAGCTTCTCACAGCTCATGGCACTGCTGGAACAAGACGGAAGAATCTGCTTGTCCTGTCGTCATGAAGCAATGTTTCCATCTTTCACCCAGCCTCCTTTCCTGCCTGGCCTTTCGTGTCCAGTGTAGCAAGGAGAGAACTAGACTTGGTGCATTCTATTTACCTGAAATATTAACACACCTTAAGTTCAGATACGGTAGGCTCTCTGCATGCCATGTGCCGTGTCCTTTGGCCAGTTTAACAAATGCATCCACTTTTCCACCACTATAATAAAGCAGGGAACACTTGCAATGCACTTTAAATAACTGCCTGGTCTCTAAACAGAATATTTCACGGTCGAAGATAAATGGAATATTTTCTTTGGAGTAATCTCCCAAGGATATAAGATGCAACTTTAAAACATTTGCAAAGCTAGAAAATACATATAAAAAGATCCACAATTTATACAAAACCTCACCTGGATAGAGTAATTTTACCTAATATATGAACTACGAGATAGTTGTCACATTAAATGGTTCTGGGTGATTTAAATTTAGAGAGATATTTGATTACTAGGTTATGTTGAGACTGTAAAAACACATTAATAGGAAATAGATGTTAATATTTATTAATTCTTAGAGTGATTTCATTACATGGCATTCGGGTGGAATAGATTTATATATCCACTCTTTTATATGACCAGAAACCCCAAGTTGCTATCAATTTATTCATGTTATGCTCTCTTTGCTTAAAAGGGAAGAAAGAAACATATTTTCAAAGTTCCTTTGATTCAGTTTTGTTTTTTTTTTTTGAGACATCAGCAAGTTCCTAAATGTATTAGGAGTTTTGGTATACAGAAATCTGCTCTCTTTCAGTGTACCACAGTGTGATTTTTGCAGATTCTGTCTTCCCTTTCCAACCCATCAGAACCTTTATCTTTGGAAATATGCTTTGCTTGTATTTAAATATAGCAAAATTCCATTTCAAAGTCAAGAATGGAAAATACTAATCTTTATCTATGTATAGTTCCTTGGACCAGTTGGCCTGAATTTCTGTTGCTAGTTTGAGTGGCGACGTGCACTGGCTGCGTGAGAATGAAGTCAGAGAATGTGAGGATCCAGGTCAGAGAAGGGACCCAGGCATGCCCCTTTCTGAGGACACCCCCAGTCCCTGTCTCCTCTTCCTTCATTTTTGAACAAGCAAAATACAGAAGCAAGAAAATGAAAAAGTGCTGCACATCAGAGAAATGCTTAGAGAAGGCACTAACGGATCCGTGACTTTGTCAGTGCTTCCCTTGACTGTGCTGTGGTGACCGATCTTTCTGTCATGCACCATGATGGGCTAACACGGGAGACAGAGTGCTCAGCATCTCCTTCAACAAAGCACATAATTACTTCACAACATTTCTGTTCAAGAGCCTATTACTTACCTTATACTCTATATCTAGCTAAAGAACCCGTCTTCTTGTATCTTTTTTAACTGATTTATTCTTGTTTTAAACATAATATTCACGTTTTTCCACAACCTGCCCCCTTTTTTCAGGATCTCTAAGGCATAAATATAAAGGTAACTTTAAAATATTTTTTCCCAAGACTAGCTTATTTTTATGCTCACAGAATGTACTCCATATTAAATAAAAAATTTGTAATTCAATCATTCCACAGAAATAGATTGAATGGGATGCTTAGACCAAGGTGAGTTTAAATTTCCAGCATCCCAGTAACAGGCATGCTTGGGCCACTGCTGGGTTGGCCCAGGCCCAGGCCCAGGCCCACAGCCATGAAGGTGTCCACTGTTCAATCCACAGTGAAAG